ATTCCCGGCATAGTAGATCATATGGTTGTCTGATACAAAATGGCCAAAACCAGTCCATTTCAGCTCACTAATGCCTAGGATATCTATCTTTATGTGTTCTATTTCATTTTTGACAACTTCCAATTTTCCTAGATTCAGACTTCATACATTCCATGTTCCGATTATTCATGGATGTTTGCAGCTGTTTCTACTCATTTTGAGTCATGCTACATCAACAAATGGAGGTCCTGAAAGCTTTACTCCATCCACATCATTAAGGTTGACTCTACTCTGAGGAGGCAGCTCTTCTCCTGTTGTATTTTGAGTGCCTTCTGACCTGAGGGACTCATCTTCTGATACTATATCAGACAGTGTTTCAGGGCTATTCATAAAGTTTTACAGTAATATATCAGACAGTGTTTCACTGGTATTCATAAGGTTTTCACTGGTCAATTCTTTGAGAAGTGGATGGCCTCTTCCTTTTGAGTCTGTCTTAGTCTGGAAGCTCCGCTGAAACCTGTCCACCATGGGTGACCCTGCTGATATTTGAAATACTGGTGGCAAAGCCTCCAGCCTCATGGCAACACGCAAGTCACCACAGTACGACAAACTGACAGACGAGTGGTGCTTCAACTCGACAACCCTATATATGCCAGAGTAGAATTAAGCTCTCCATACAATTTTCAATGGCTATTTTTTTCAGAAGTAAATTGTCATGCCTCTCTTCCAAGGCACCTCTTGGTGGACTTGGACCTCCAACCTTTGGTTCGCAGATCAGAGCATTAACCATTTGCAACAAGCCTAAAGAAGCCTAGGCAAAAAATGTCAGATCTCCATAACTCTGTTGTCTTAGTTCTAGTTTCCTAGCCCTCTGACAGAACTCGTATAATTCTGGGGGCAGCCCTACCTGATATACTATCTTCTCTGACACATAATTAGATTTGTAAGTAACAAACAGATTTGGTAGCTACATTTTATGGAAGATCCATAACTTTTACAGATGCCCAAAATATCACTAAAACAAATGAATTGAGGTCTAACATCAGGCCAAATGAATACTACTGCAAATTTAACTTCTTGGAACTTCCAAAAATTTGTAAGTATAAATGTTATATGTAAATTTTGCATGTTTTAAGGAGCTCTGGTAGCGTAGTTGCTAAGGCACATGACTGCTAACAGAAGGCTAGCGGTTCAAACCCACCAGCCACACTCCTCGAAAGGAAGACTGGGCAATCTACTTCCATAGTGATACTGCCTCAGAAACCCAAGGAGGGTCTCTATGAGTCGGGTCTGACTCAACAGCACATAACAACAACAACAACTTAATTTTAGTGTTTAAAAGATCTTGTCAACTAAGAATATAATCTACCCAAACAGAATCTTTAAGCTAGCAGTTGACACACTTTAGTGTATATAAAAGTCACCTAGGGAGCCTATTAAATAAACAGAACCCAGAGTTCCACCCTCAGAGATATGTATTCAGTGGCTAGCTTTTATCTCCCTGCATTTTTTAATAAGCATCCCCAGGAGATTTTGATGAGCTTGTCTCCAGAGCACCCTCTGAGAAACACTGCAAGTGTTTTGAGATATTTCACTGATAAATAAACTACCAAACTTCTCTAAATACTTTTTATCACTATACTTCCAGCACTCAAAAAATGTTAGCAGTTTCCCTGCTTCCTACTGCACCATCTATACTGCTCAGTCTGGCTTTTGAGGCTATTAATAGTCAGGTCAAACAATACATACATACAGCTATTTTTCATGATCACCTGTAACATACCCTTCTACTCAAGTCACACCAGCCACTCCATTTACTGCCTATGCTCTGTTCCTTTCTGCTTCCAAGTCTTCATTTGGTGTCATCTCTTCCCCACAGGGCACACTTTCACCTTGTCCTTTGCCTACTTAGAATCTTGTCTATCATTTGAGCACCAATGGGTAGAACCTTCCTTGGCTGTGGATGCCCTGCCAGTTGATAACCTACTCATATCTCCGATACCCATTATGATCTGTCACACTGAATTTAGCACTTGTACTCTTGGCTATTCTTTTCGGTTTGGTTTGGTTTGTTGCTGTTGTGTGCTGTTGAGTCGGCCCCAACTCATAGCGACCCCTCCTTGGGTTGCCGAGGCAGTATCACTACAGAAGTAGATTGACCAACCTTCCTTCCGAGGAGTGGCTGGTGGGTTTGAACCGCCAGCCTTCTGGTTAGCAGTCAAGTGCCTTAGGCACTATGCTACCAGAGCTCCTTATTAATGTATATATCCCCACTGCCCACCAAAATTCTGATTCCTAGGCATGTCTTAATTTTTCCTACACATAGCCTGGAGTTATGTATATAATTACTGTCTCTAATTCTTCTCCTTTCAGTCTTTCTTAAATCCACTTCCATGAGGTTTGCTCCAAATAAACTGTTTTTATCAAGGTCAATACTGATCTTCACAATGCCAATTACAACGGTTAATTTTTTTGGCCATATGTAATTTGACCAATAAGCAGTAATTGGCACAAATAATCACTCCTTCCACGATGTTCTTGCTTCACTTGGCTTCCAGGATCTCATATTCTCTTGGTTTTGCTCCCACTTCCTTGGTTGCTCCTTTTCAATACCCTTTGTTGGTTCCTCCTCACTTCCTCAACTTCTTCACTTGGAGTATCCTAGGGCTTCTTTCTTGGTAAACCTAGTTTCTATGTATATTCACTTCCTTAGTGATCTTTTCCAGTTAAACTTTTAGTCCAATTGGATATCATGGCTTTAAGTATCATCTATATGCTGAAGACTTGCAAATTTCTATCTCCTATCTCCTGAAGTCCAGACTCATCCAACTCTGTATCTACACTGGATGTCTATTAGACATCCCAAATTTATTCCATAACTAAACTTCTGCAGTTGTCCCCAAATCTACTCTACCTGTAGCATTCCCCATCTTAGTGGACAACATTTCCATTCTTCCAGTTTCTCAGGCTAAAACCTTATTGACTTCTCTCTTTATTCACACCTCACATCTAATCTGTCAGTAAATCCTGCTGGTTCTACTTTCAAAGTGTTTCCAGAATCCACTACTTCTCATCATTTCCACTTCCCTCACCCAGATCTAAGCCACCATAATATTTCTCCTAAACCACTGCAATAGTCTCTTAACTGGTCTTCACTTTCACCATTGCCTTTCTACAGTCTAGTGGCAACACTATGTCTGGAGCGGTTATTTTAAAATGTTAATCAAATCAAGTTGCTCCTCTGCTCAAATTTTCCAATGGTTCCTCTTATCATTCAAGGTCAAAAGAGTTCTTAAAATGGTCTATATGGCCCTATGTGATCCAAACCCCCATTCATTCCCTTATGTCATCTCTATTTACTCTGCCCTTTACTCATCTACTCTATCCATGTTAGTCACCTGTAACAATTCTTAAGAATAACAATTCTTCACACATCCAAGCAGGTTCTTTGTTCAGAGTTTTTGTACTGACTGGTACTTCTACATGCAACACCCTTCCCTTCCTCAGTATTTGAGATAGAGTAACATCTATCTCAAATATACTGTTTAGAATTACAACCTGCATTTCTCATCCTCTACCTTCAGTTCACTTTTCTTTTTCTTTTCCCCGTAACAACTTAGTATCTTCTTTATTTTTCTATAGTACTTAACACCTTCTATATAGCATAGTGGCTAAGGCACTTGACTGCTAACCAGAAGGCTGGCAGTTCAAACCGACCAGCCACTCATCGGAAGGAAGATGGGGCAATCTACTTCCGTAGTGATACTGCCTCAGAAACCCAAGGAGGGGTCGCTATGAGTCGGGTCTGACTCAATGGCACATAACAACAACAACAACATATACTATATAATTTCCTTGTTGGACTCATAGCGACCCCTCCTTGGGTTTCTGAGGCGGGATCACTACGGAAGTAGATCGCCCCATCTTCCTTCTGAGGAATGGCTGATAGGTTTGAATCACCAGCCTTCTGCTTAGCAGTCAAGTGCCTTAGACACTACACTATTTATTGTTTGTCTCCCCAACTAGAATGTAAGTTCGAGGAAGGTAGGGCTTTATGTCCACTTTGTTCACTGATGTACCCCAATCATCTAAATCACTGACTGGCACATAGCAGGTACTAAGTAAATATTTGTTAAACAAGAAAATGAATAGGTGATCTACCTACTGGAAACTTAAAGC